ATCCGGGCCAGGGTGCGGCCTCGGGGGCTGGAGCATCTGAGCCCCCCACTTCTCCAGGAGGAGCCCCAGAAAGACTCTCGGAGGGTGCACCGGCGAGATGTCCTTGAAAATGCTGAAGTTGAGCCCGAGGAGCTGGAGGACACCTCCCAGGTGATTCTCTTCCCTTCCACAGGTGAGAACGCCCTGGTGGGATGGAGAGGGCAGAGGGGTTAAGCAGGGTGGAAGCTTGGACAGGAGGGATGCAGCAGGATGGAGAGGCTGCTGGGGGGGGTCTGCGGGAGAAGAGAAAGAGGGTAGAAGAGGGAAGAAGGCTGGTGCACAGGCATGGGTGAGGTGTGGTGGGGAGCCAGGAGGTGGAAAGGGATGGCAGGCAGGGACAGGCAGAGCAGCCAGGACAGAGGTGGGGAGAGGGGCAAGGTGGCACAAGAAGGTGCCAAGAGGCTGGGGAACGGCTGGGCTGGGAGGGATGTGGAGAGATGGGGAGGGCTGAGGAGGAGGTAGGGTGGGATAGGGTGGGATGCTAGGGAATGGGGGCAGGATGCTGGGAAATGGGACAGGATACTAAAGGACAGGTCACTAAAGGACAGGGCAGGGTGCTGTGGGATGGGGTAGGATGACCAGCTATGGGGCAGGACACTGGGGGACAGGGCTGGAAGGTGGGGGACAGGGACAGCAGTAATGGACCAGCCTAGGGCACAGCAGGGCTCAGCTGCGGGGTGCAGTGCAGTGGCTGCTGCGCAGCACTGAACATCAGCGCCCCAGCTCCCTGCTGCAGCCTGCGCTGGCAGCCGGGCACCCTGCCAGCACCCTGGGGACCCACTGCCACCCCCCACCTCCCACCTGGCATCAGGGACCCTCCCTGGGTTTGGGTGCACACCCTGAGCATCTTTCTCCTCCCGCAGACGTGCCCTGTGAGCCCACGCAGCCGGACAAGCTGCTGGAGGAAGAAGGGATTTTCACCTACCTCTTCCAGCCCTCGGTGCACACCCTGAGCCGCGCGGTGACCTCTGCCCAGCTCTGGTTTTACACCGGCCCCTCAGCCGCCCCCAACCACTCGGCCCCCGACGTGCTGACCCTGTCACCGCAGGGCCGTGTCTCGGTGACGGCCACGGTGGTGCGGACACCCGAGCACTGGACAGTGTTTCACTTCGCCCCGGCGCTGCTGCCCCAGCTCTCGCAGCCGCTCTTCGTGCTCCTGGTGCGCTGTCCTGGCTGCCCCTGCCTGGCTGAGGAGGACAAGATGCCCTTCTTGGTGGCCACCACCCGGGCCAAGGGTGGCGAGAGGGCTCGCCGCTCCGCCATGCCCTGGTCCCCGGCTGCCCTCAGCCTGCTGCAGCGCCCGTCTGAGGACCTGGCCGCCCACACCAACTGCCGCAGGGCTTCCCTCAACATCTCCTTCGAAGAGCTGGGCTGGGACAAGTGGATCGTGCATCCCAGCAGCTTCGTTTTCCACTACTGCCACGGGAGCTGTGCCGAGGGCCACGGGCTGAGCCACCGCCTGGGCGTGCAGCTCTGCTGCGCTGCCCTGCCCGGCACCATGCGCTCCCTGCGCGTCCGCACCACCTCCGACGGCGGGTACTCCTTCAAGTACGAGACGGTGCCCAACATCCTGGCCCAGGACTGCACCTGTGTCTAGGCCATCCCGCAGCCCGGCCCCAGACCGCGATCCCACCCAGGAGGAGTTGCTTGCCCAGGGGACCCCTGGCCCCGTGCCGCAGGGACCAGGGGGACCCAGTGAGGGGGTTTGGGCTGTGCCACCCTCCCTTGCACCAGCCGCAGTTTCAGGCTGGCCCGGGTACAGTCACGCTGCCAGACCTGCCCTGGGGCCAGTCCCAGCCCAGAGCACGCTGGAGCATGGCGGGACAGGGACAGGCACAGCCTCCGGTGGAGGCGCCAACCCCCTGCCAAAGCCAGCCTGGTGCCTGCAACCAGCTCAGACCCAGTTTCTCCTGACCTGGTCCCCTCCCACAGTTTCTCTTCCCCCTCTCCCCCTTCAAAAGACTGGGATCCTGCTCCTGCTGCAGAGTGCAACATCCCCCCCCGTGCTCCCCGGCAGGGCCAGGCTGCCGCAGCAGGGATGGGGACACGCCAGGGTGAGCCCATGCCGGCTGGTGTGCTAGAGCTGGCAGCACGCGTGGCTCTGCAAGCGAGCCCTCTCCCGGCAGCATAGCCTGTTGGAAAGCTTAACGGGATGAGTGAAATAAACCTGTTCCCTTTACCGAAACAGCCTGGAAACGCCAGCTTCCGTCAGAGGCAGCCAGCAGCGGCGGCACGCGGTCGGGCAGTGGGATGCAAGCTCCCCAGCGGCTTTTGGCTGGAGTATGGAGGGGATGGGCAAGCGCTGCAGGAGGGGCCCAGCTCTGACCCAGGGTCCCAGAGGGGTGACTAGAGTGTGGTGGCCAAAATCAGCATGGTGTGGCTGGGTTTGATCCGGCCCTGGGGCAGGAGATCGCAGGGCAGCATCACTTCTGCTCCCGGCTGCAGCAGGATGGGGAGGCACGGGGGGGGCAGGGGGATGGGGAGGCAAGGA